ACTGACATGCCTACTTCAATTGATTTAGAGTCAATTCAGCTTCTGATCCGATTGTTATCATGTGACTTTTCGCACATGTCCCCCTCGATATATGACTACTGTATTATTTTCAGATTGGGGTAGAGATATTTTTTTTTGGGCTCAGGCAGGAATGCTTCTCTCTACTTTGCACTTTCTCTGTCTGATTGTGCCACTTTCTGTCTCTCTGTTCCTCCCTTAGCTTCCCATTCTTCATCTCTCAACACCAACAAAAAAAACAAACTCAAACTTAACCATCCCCACAGTCTCCTATCTGCTCTCTCCCTCAGCTGTACAGTCTGGCGGTGGGGCTCTCAATTGACCGGCTTTGTAAACAGGAAGCTGGTGTTCTGTCCGCTGTTACCTGGAGTGTGGGTGGCAGAACAAGGGGCAACCATACAAATGCACAGTAATGGGAATCCAAGATGGCAGGGAGGGGTCCCATAAAATCACCAGAGAGAACAGAGGAAGGCGGCATCCAAGGGGGGAGCCATTGTCAAATGAGAACAGACAGAAGTCAAAAGGATTGTTGATTCAATTTTTCCTTTAGTAAATAGATTGTTGGTTTGTGTGGTGTTTCTCCGTCTGTATTGGATCCAGCCTAGAACTGTAGTGTTTGGGAGGATTAATGTCATGAACAATCCCTCAAACTCATTTTCTTTCCCAATTTACGGTTTCAGGATAAGGGAGAGAGACACATTGCATGTTCTGCTGGCGGTGGTCCCATTAGTGATGAAGTGAGATCTGGGTTCATTGTGTCCCTTTTGAGTTTGGCTGTTTTGAATACTTGTTCCAATTCCAGAAGATAATGCTGTCCTCACTTGTTCCAAAACAACCGCTTCGCTCGTGTTATCCAACTGTAGCTGAAAGGGGGGAAACATAACCTTGTGGGCCGCTGCCCTGCTCAAATCACTCACTCCACACATTTTGTTTTTGTTGTTTAACATGCTGGAAGTCAGTGGAAGTTTGGGTGTTTTCTGCCAGGCGAGCTGTAATGGGGGGAAGAAGCTTGACGGGAGTCAGTTTATCATGAGCACAGAGAGCACAACAGATAGATTCCCCCTGTCTCCTCCCCTTCAGCACAGATAGACTCGGAGCATGGGCACTCAGCCAACACTATCAATCTATCCGCTCCTACCCCCAGCCTCTAACTCTTATTGGAGGACAGCTTCCAAAGGGGCAAGGAAGCATGAATCATAGCCCGGCTATGAGAAGCTGTTATGCCTCTAAATACACGTGTTGTGGCTCAAAAAAAACGACTCTGTTGCTTCGCCATTAATGACAATCTCACTCGTGATTGTCACAGCCCTGAAACAAAGTTGTAGCATATAGGAGGCTGTTCAGGGAGAGGGATTGTTGGTCTTGGCCTAGTTTTCTTGTCTGATCAGAAACCTGTGCACCTCTGCCCTTCCCCCACCCAAACCTAAGCCTCTACTATTACAGGCTGTGAGGGGCTCAGTGTGGAACGAGGTGAGCAGCTTGCCTCGCCACCGAGCTCTGTGTGCGTTATGTGTGGTGCTGCTGCCTATGCTGTATGTTTATCATCGTGTCTGTGTGTGTCTGTGTGTGATATAACCTGGTGATGTGGTTTGGCTTGCATGACTGGCTTCCTATATGAGCTGGGCAGGATGGCAATGAGGGTTAAAGGTGGATAACACGTGAGAGTGTTGACGCAGGTAGCTAGAAATGAACCCAGCTTTGAGAGCGTGGTCGAAAAAAACCATTGTGTTTTGATTGGATAATAAAGCAGCGAGAATCTTAGGTGACATCTTCACTATGATGCAGGATTGCCCTCTATTTGTTCTCCACAAAGCATTATTGATAAAAAAAAAAATCCAAAGAGGATTAACTACACATTATTATTCCTTTTATGAATTTATGTAATTCAAAATATGTGCACATAGATAGGTCATTAATATGCACAAATATATGACCGCTTAGCACCAATGTGCCAAACATATGCTAATTTTCCATGTGCATCTGTTGTTAATTACACATATGAGGCTGGGAATGGCTGGAAGGAATCATTGAGGGCATGTGGGACAGCATCCCTCCCCATTCTGCCTTTAACTGTCCATTGTACTGTGAATATATTTTGAGATTACAGATGACATGTTTGTGTTTTTTTCTTTGGTCCTTCCTGTGTAATGATGCTGTAAGCTTTTAGGTTGCCATGCGGTAGATTACCCATTGTCACTGTGGATAATGAAACAGGATTTTAGCATAAAAATTGAGCTTTTAGAGGTCATTATCTGATTTTTTTTTATGCCTGTGTTAATTGTGAAACAAACGAAATAGTGGACAGCAACATCGTCCTGTTCATATAGTCCAGGCTGCGCTATTATTTTGTAACAGCTGAATAGAATTGCATTGCTCAATATCAGGAATATCATATTAAACAAGCTATTGCCCTTGGCTCCAAAGTGGTACCACCCTAATTCACTTGTAAAAAAAAAAGAAGAAATTTGATGTCAATATAGTTTAAGAGAGGATAATGCTTTGAAACATATTTCTTTTGTCTTCAGCTCCTTGTTATCCAACGGATTTCTGTTTAACCTCGTGTCACCGATGCACTCAGTGTTCATTAAGGGGAAGATCCTCACTATATATATATATGTTTTTTTTATTATTTTTCTACAGCCCCCTCCCTCTCTTCAGCCTGGCTGCCCTTGTACATGCTCTCCATGTCAGACCCAGCTGTTACTACAAACTACTTGGAGGGCTTACAAGCCTCATTGCTAATACTGACAACAGCACTATTCTTACTCAAGGCCTAACGTCTACTGGAAAAAAAAGCGAGAATATGAGAGATTTTCTCTGCCTCCACTAAAAATTCATTTCCCCAAACAGATGTTTCCATCTGTTCGAATCTAATCTTTTGATTAATACATTCCTCAATGAAAGGATTCCAAATAGGTGTTAGATAAATAACTCAAGATGCTCTTTCTTTGATAGCTGTGATTATTTTCTGATGCTGCGGCTGTCTTTTGATTTTTCTTTTTTCTGAGTGTGTGTGAATACCTGTGTGTGTGTGTGTGTGTGTGTGAGACCAAACGTGAATGTATGCATGGTATGTTTGTGAAGGTATTTATGGTCCATATGTGCGTTTGTTTCCGAGCAGTAACCCCATTACATTCCTAAGACGGTCCATGAGACTAATTAATGTTCTGTGCCGAGGCTTTTCCTTCACTCAGGGGACACCCGATGGATTATTTACCTATATGTCCTATTGACAGCAAATCCCCCTCCCCAGTGGTGACCTCTGTGCAAATAGACAGTTTGAGGGATTAGGGTGTATGATAGCACTGGGCAGCTATGTACAATTTGCATGTGCCATGTCTTATTTTTTTTTAAATGACAGCTCACACCCAGGACATTGGCATCCTGCTCACATAGTGACTCAAACGATACGTGAGTCACCGTGGGCCTTTGTAGTGGTCCATATAGTGACAGCCGTGTGCTAAGAAATCTGTCTGTTTCTGAAGTTTTCTGTGTTTTTTTGTTTTCTGTTTTGCTAATTCATATATACAACAGTATAATGTTGGAGGTTGAAGACCAGAAACAAAGCAGGGTCATCTTAACTTCCCTCTGCTTTGACAAGGTTTGCCCTCCGGTTAGAAACAACAGCTGGACAGCTAGACACTTAAAAAAAAAAAGTGTGTTTCTGTGTGAGGGATGTGTGTGTGTGTGTGTGTGTGTGTGTGTGTGTGTGTGTGTGTGTGTGTTAAATAAAGGTAGGAAACACATTAGGGTCCAAACCTTTTCCATAGTTCTTTCTCATCATGGTGACTGAGCGGCAGTTCGTTTTAGATATGTATCTTTTGGTATTGTTATGTTGTAAAAGCAGCATTCTTAACATTATAGACACATTTGCGTTGCCTTTGCTGTTTGAACTGTTTTCTCTGAACTATTACCCCCCACCCCCCCTACTCTGTGATCCTATACTCTGTGCTCTCCCTCCCCTCCCCTCCACTCAGCTCTGGAGCAGGCAGTTACCAAGGCTGTGTTGGTCTTATGTTTAACAGCTCATTCACAAAAAGACTGGCTTAGAAAGTAGAGCAGAAACAATTAGTGTATTAATCGACAGATAGAAAATTAGCAACTTGAATAACCTTTGAATTGTTTCAGTCAGTTTTCAAGCAAACATGCCAAATCATTTATTGTTCTTGCTTCTTAATTGTGAGGATTTTATGCTTTTGTTCGTCATATTTGATAGTTAACTGAATATTTTGAGGGTTTGGTCTGTTGACTGTTAAAACAAGCAATGTGAAAGAAATCCCCTTGGTCTCTGGTAAACTATATATAAACAATTAACTGATTAATTGAAATAAAAAAAAAAAGATATTAATCAGTGATGAAAATAGTCCTAGTGGAAATTATGTTTATGACAGCAGTTGATCATTTTAAAGTATATTCAGATGGATGAAATATTATTTTGGATCCAGATAATAATTGGATGTTAATTTGAACATATACAAATATGTGCACGTAAGTCTGAATAGTTCTCCTTCATATTAATCCATAAGCTGTATTGTAAAATCATGATATATTCATAAAATATACATATATACATATAAATCAGCTTATGTCATATGATATAAAGAAAAACGTGTTTTAAATATAGTGTCATTTAAATGTTGAGACAAAAAATACAGTAACAATTAAAATAGTAATTTAGTTTATAGTTGCCTTTGTTCTTGTAATGTAAATCAGTAAATCTAAATAATTTAAAGCCGTGGGTTGAAAATATAGTTTTTTGTTTTGTTAAAAAAAAAGGGAAAGAGGACACAGCAACCAAAGTAATAAAATGATGTCAGCGGGCATGTTGGCGCCCCCCCCCCCTCAGCCAGCTTCCCTGAGCACACAGGGAAAGTGAGCGTCAAGAAGAAGGCGGGCTCAACTTGGATTTCTGGACGTTCGATGGCTGCCACTGCTGTCAATCAAGCGCACACGCTTCCCCATTGGCTGCGCTCTTTCGCATTTATCGTGCCATCTCGCCAAGCTGCTGCTGTGTAATCGCAGGTAACTTTCTTACGATAGCCTTCCGCTGGACGACCTAGTGCTCGTAGCGCTCTCGCATTTTGAGGAATTGCAGATACAGAACACAAAACCGAGCGTCGGCATTAGACATTACCGTCGTTTTGGCCACCGGAAGACGCCAAAGCTGTATTTTTTCCTCCGTGAAAATACCCCGTCTCTCAAAGGCGTTTGAAATCGGACACCGCTGGCATTGAGGCCCTCACTTTTTTTGTGCGGAGGGATACGTTGTTGCGTCTGACAATGTGGACGGAGGTGGTGAAGATGTCTACGAGAAGAATGAAATCATCTCAGTTGTAACAACAGGGGGAAAAAAAGGAAGACGCGAGATTAGTTACTATAATAGATTTGTTTGCACTCAAGACTTGTAACGTTGAAGCAAACACGTGGGCGCAGCGTGAAAAGCAGGTTTTTACCGGGACAAAAGGAAGACATCTACGCTGCTCCAATGCGTTTCATGCACTGAGGTCGAAATTCTCTTGAAGTTTTATGTTTTTCCCCTCGCGAGTCTCCGCTTTTCTTTTTACTGTTGGATATCAGACACTTGGAGAGGAGAGGTAAAACAAAACACATTCTTTCACTTCACGTTTCGGGGGAAAGTTGCATGAATTCGACGGGTTTCACTGACAACCTATTTTGACGCCTGCAATTTTTTGAAAAGTTTTTTTGGGAATGTGTTGGTTAAAACGGAGAGGGGGGGGGGGGGGAGTTTTTTTTTTTTTTTTTTTTTTTTTTTTTTTTTTGTCTGGGTTTGAGGTGGCGAGCCAAGTGTGTGTGATGGTCTCCGCATCGACCACGGTAGAGGAGGAAATTACTCCTTTGTTCTGCAATAAAAGACCCCACTAACGTAAAGTGTTAGTCCTGCAGAACAAGCCTCATTGTGTTTGTTTTGTAAATCGCGTGTCTCCGCCACGAGCTGTAGCCAGAATGTGGAAATAATGAAAATGTGTATAATGTTGCTGAGCATTTTTTTTGGGGGGGGGGGTGGGGCTGAACTTTATGTTGTGGAGGCCTAAACGTGTATTTTCCACACTAAGCCAGACACAAACTTTCCATTAAACCCCCTTTTGGTAGCCCTTTAAACATTCCTTTATGGAAGCGTCTGGCCACCAGCTAGACTTTTATTTTATTGCACATTTGGCAGGAAATTCCTCATGCTCCCCCCCACCCCCCCACACACACTCAACTCCCCTCCTATTGCAACGACTTGAACCCTAATATGAGAGAGAGAGGGCTCACTATTTTGTTGCATGCAAGTTTTGGAGCTCTCCTTCTCCAGGGTCACGACTGTTGCACTTGTTTATTTATACATATCTCTATATATATATTATACATAATTTGTTTTCTCCACGAGGCCGCTACTGTAGATTATGGGGTGTTTGTTAGTCTTCAGGATGTCAACACGCTTCAGGATAAATGGTGAATGGGTTAGTTGTCAGCTCGGCCCTGAATGTGGCCTAGATGATCAAATAAGGTACAGCCTGCATCCTGTGGTGATGTTTACTGTCATTGTTATAAACTATTTGACCCAAAAGTGGGTTATTATAATTTATAATAATGTGTTTCTGGCACGAGACATTCACATCGGGGGGGGGTTCTTTTTGGACAGGATTTGAATCAACTGTTGAATATGCTTCTCTGGTTGTTCCCAAAGTCATAGCATTGCCATAAACACTTGTTATATTTACTTACTTTGCTTTTATTTTTATTTTATTTTATTTATTACATATGACCGGGGTAATAACACCCAAAACAAGTACAATCCACGCGGGCAAAAAAATGTGCTTTCAAATTAGAAATATCTAGAAGTCAATATGTTATTACATGTTTGTGTGACAGGTAGGAGCCTTATTATAATTAGATTTGAAAGCCATAGAATATAATCGGAGGTAGGCACGTGCATGTAAGTCGTGTTCAGAATTTAAATGAAACATTTTAGTGTGTTTTTTTTTTTTGGCATCTGTTTGGCTCAGTGGTTGTCTCCACTGGAGGTGCATGCTCGTTCATGGAGAATGACCTGCCTTCTCTGCCTTGTGTGGGGTGACAAAGACCCCTAATCTGCTCGCTTCAAATATTGATCCAGCAGTAGCTGAAGATGCCATTTTGTTACATTAAGCCCCTCTGTGTGCTCTACTCCTTTTTTTTTTTTTTTTTTTTAACCCAGTGGTCAAATAATGTCTGCAAATGTTAAGTTTATTTTAGTGCTGTGTGTGTGTGTGTGTGTGTGACCCATTTTGTCTTAGATTTGGCCATCTTATCCAAAAGTTTGGAAAAGCAATGACAGCCATGTTCTTAGCCTATTTACACTTGGTGTGTGTGTGTGTGTGTGTGTGTGTGTGTGTGTGTGTGTGTGTGTGTGTGTGTGTGTGTGTGTGTTCACTTCCTTCCCTTGTCTCAAGGTTACATTAGTTGTGCTTGCCTGAGTTCACTAGACTTGGACTGCACTGTTTGTTTCTTGGGTTATTTTCATACATGCAGAACATTATTTATGACATTGTAATGCTTTTGTTTCTCTTGCTTTGAAGTGGTTCCTAGTTTATACATTTTTATTTCCCTGACATACATTTTAATAATCTGAGCTCCCCTTTTGTTTACATTTTACAACTTGCATTTCCTCTATAAAATCCATCCCTTTTTCTGTTTGTTTTTTTTTTTACATCAATTTAGGTTAGTGTATTACAAAAGAGGCTGTAAAAGCACACCACCTGTTGGTGTCCGAGTGCCTCTCTTCCTCCACTCGCTCCCCTTACCACTATAGTTCCCCCGTAAGGCTTGCAGATCCGCCGCTCGGCATCAGAGAGCGGCCTCGGGCTCGCGTTGGAATGCGAAACACAGGGTAAATCCAGTATTCACGCTCACTGTGTCATTTGACAAGGTTCTTTCTGAGTTGACATATGGTAATTTGATAATGACGTGTTTGCGTACAGTCATTAGCGCTGCCTTTTACCCCTATTTCCTTGGGCTAACAATAGTCTCAATTATGTCTAATTGTAAATGTATTACACTCTCTTTTATGTAGCGATGAGCGACATATGGCCGTGTTATTTGCCAGGGTTGTGTAAAATGAAAGATTTTTCTTTCCCCCCCGTTACGTGGTAGTGATTTGACTAAGGGGCAAAGTATTCATCATTTCATGGCAGTGTCTCCTCTACTGCTTTGATGGGAAGGCAGTGTCTGACTGAAGCTAGCATTTTAAAGTAGCCCCAGCTAAAAGTGTAGCGCGTTAAGTTGCCCAATGTGGTCTGTTTTCCCTCATCGGTCCGTAGTAATTTGAGCAGTATGTTTTGGCCAGCTGAGACTCAATAGACGATTGTTGACTTTATATATATATATATATATATAAATCCTTGCCTCTCATGTATGGATGTATATTTTTAAAATATAAGTTTGATGCATTGGCAATAAGAAGAAAGTTGCTTTGTTTTTTTTTCTCAGGAAAAATGCTGACTTAGCCCTACATTGATACTTTACCATATTTACCAATATGACTCATCTCTAGGGTTGTGATAAAGCAAAGAGAGAGTAGTTTGAATCATTCATTACCATCACCCTCTGTTTTTTTAAGAGATATATGTAAATTCTCTTTGTGCTTGCTAGTGCCATTAAAATCCTGTATCTGCAAATTTCTCTCATAGGGTTTATTAGAGACTGAAGGGTATGAACGAACAGCAGCAAAGAATGGCTGCAGTGGGAACTGACAAGGAACTCAACGACCTCCTGGATTTCAGTGCGGTAAGCGAGTGGGAGAGCAGTCTGGGTGGTTCTGGGTGGCAGTGGTAGGTGGGTGGCATTGGGAGAAAAGGGCTAAAGAGAGTGCGATACAGGTCTGGGTCTGAGCAGGGGAGAGCTGGAGGTCTCAATGACAGAAGTGGGGAAAGGGGAGCGCAAGGAGAATCAGTGGGGAGATTCATTTCTCAAAATCTGCAACACAAAATTGGATTTTACTTTTTTTTTCTTTTTTTAACAATAGGTTTTGTCAGCCCAAGATATTTCCATCCTTCATTCTTGGCATGCAAAGGTAGTGCTGATTACATCAAAGCATGGCAAGTAAAACACTGCTGTACCACAGGGTGACTGGTAAAAATGAATTCAGGTTTTAATATATGTAGGTTATTCAATAATGTAGGTGATGCAGAGACACAGCAACAAGGAAGTGGATCCTCACTACAACGAGCTGGCATCCACCGTAAAAAATGTAAATAGTGAATCAGGAACAACCACAGGAAACTGCGGAAATAATTTCACCCTTGTTTGTCTTGTTAAAAGTATTTGAAGTGGAAATATTGTTCTATATGAATTGGGTTGCGCAGACAGCTTCTGCATTTCTTTTTTTGTCATAGTTTTAGTCTTTTAGGAAGACATTTTCACAGAGATGCTTTCAGAGGAATCCTCCAGACATTATCTACAAAGAGGATGGAGGTATTCTGTTCAGCCTTTATTTACCTGTGTTTCATGTTGTTGTGAAGCCTTTTCTTGAGCTTTACGCGACATAAACATCTCACAGGCCCAATGGAGCTGTGATACTTTTTTCCCCCCTTTTTTAAATAAGCCGAATAGCTGGTAAGGCTAAATTTCCAGCTCTGGATAAATACTATATAAGGGACACAACAGGTAATTCCAAACCGATGCTCCTAATGAATATTTGTCAGCAGACTTAATGTCCCATGATATTTTCTGACAGGGTGCAGTCGATTAATACTGAAGTACTAGCTTTTTCTTTGTCATTTTCTTTCTTTTTCCTTTCTTTTGTTATTTAGGCATTGTTGTGCATGAATTGTGTTGGTGGAGCTTCATTATATTGACTTGCACGATTCCGTCAGCTGCTTTGTTAATGTCCTTTTATTCTCTGCCACATCGTCGGTATTTATAGGAAACCTTTTCCCCCCATGAAAGAAACGCACTCGTCGTGAAGGGGCTTTGTGGGAGGTTCTCATTAGACAGTTCGGTTTGTGTCAGAAAAGCTCAAATTGATCGGCTGCCAATTTGTATCAGCAGATGTTCCGTTTAAATATGAACATTGATAATTGGGTGCGAAACTGTCAAATTGTACAAACAAATTTTCCTCTTTGTTTTATTTGCTGGCTATTCACAGAAACGCGTGCTAGATTGGATGTGGAATAAAAAACTAAATGGAGATATCTGCGACCGAATAAAACCAAAGATGGTGTCCAAGTCGGTCACGTAGACCTAACCTGTTAAAAAGAGAAAGAAGAGAGAGAGATCAGATGTGGTTGTGGCAGATTGTGTTTTTGTGTCCTACTTTAGAAAAGGGTTTGGTTTGTACAGGAGAGTTTGGCCACCTCACTGAAAGATGCCACATAGATATCCAGACCACATCATAGCCTCATGGTAAAGCCCACAGTGGCTCTGTGACAAAAGCCACAGCCTCATCACAGGGTTTAAAGTTGATACTGCAGGATCAACTTTTTATATGAAAATATGCCTGAAAGGTTTCATTTCAAAATGCTGTATATTTGTTTGGGGGGCGGGGAAAAAAATACAGAGATTAGTTATTTCTGGAATGTGGCAGTTTGCATGTGTATAACTTGACAGTTTTCATGAGCATGTCTTAGTGTTACGCTAGAAGTCGTCTTAATAATGGTGGAATCACATGTTTAAAGAAAGTTAATATCTCACTTTAGACTCATCTAAAACTGAAATGCCTACACACACACACCCACACACCCACACAAGGACTGAGCGACATGTGTATGTGATGTCATTTATTAGTGGAAATAGGATGTGTGAAGTGTGCCATCCTTACCTTTGTTAGTTAAGGCATCTTTCCTCTTTTGTCTTGTAGATGTTCGCGTCTCCAGTAGCCAATGGGAAGAACAGGACAATGACACTCGCCAGCAGTCAGTTTGGGGGATCAGGTAAGCTTTCAAAGCACTCACTCACTGCGCTGCATGTCTTGGCAGCGGTCGTTGATGTAAATGTACTTGTTTCCCCCCCGAGTGACTTTAACTGACAGGACTGTGGCTGCATGTGTGTTTTTAGTTTTCACATTAAATGCAAATATTTCAAATGATCATGAAAAAGATATTCCTCACGTTGCTCTTTTGGTATCGAGCACGCAGAGGGTTTCAGTTTTGATTGCCCCAGTTTTGAGATCGCTGCCTCCGTTGGTGCAAAAGTTTTAAATTAGATTTGTGGTGCTCAAAGCTTTACAAAGATTAATTTTGAAAAACTCAATCTCCAGTTTAATCCATTGACATCGCTGATGACAGATTTCATTTGAGCAATTTGCTACAAAAGAACAAATGTAGGAAATTAGTTGTGCTTGTATTTGTTTATTCAACTATGGAGTCGTTAAAGATATAGATATCTATATCTTTTATAAAGGATTGATACTGCAGATTTTTTAATATCCACACGTTCTATTTTAACATCTGTCTGATTCTTTCCCCGTTTCTTCAGCTAGTCTTTCTTTTTAAAGTGCAAAGTAGCTGCAGTTAACTAACCCCCTTTAAGCACCTGAAGCCTTTAAGTGAGCTTTTCTCTCTTCCTGAATGTTATTAGTAAGTCGTGTTACTTTCGTTCCTCTGTCACCCTTCCAAACTGCCGTGTGAAATCGAGTCACACTCCCCAGTGTTCCCCAGAGTGAGAATTTGGCCACTGAGGAACAAAGGCAAAAAAAGGGGCTTATGGACTTGAAACGACTCCTCCACCCTGAAGTGTAAAACACTCCTCCCCCAACACGGCACAGGGCTCTTACCCCCACTGATCTGCAGGAAATGGCTCGAGTCCGAGACAATGTCCCTCACCCCTTCGCTCGCAGCCTCTTAAACTGGCCCAGCATGCAGCGAGCGGCCAGAGTGGAAGAGAGAGCTCGTTGAATAGAGGGATCAGCCTGTGGAAGGCAGGATTCTGTTTGTTTCTATTACAGCAGGCAATTACTAAGCAGTGAGGAGTTAATTCCCCCCCCCCCCCCC